GGGGTCGAGAACATAACCCTGCTGTGAATCATAGTAAACCCCCACATATGCATATATGTATATACATGTGTGTGTGTGCATGTATGTATGTATGTATGTATGTATGTATGTATGTATGCACGTATATATGTATGTATGTGCGTATGTGTGTATGCATGTATGTACCTACGCAGGTATGTATGCATGTAGGTATGTATGTATGCAGGTATGTATGTAGGTATGTATGTATGTACGTACGTATGTATGTATGTAGGTACGTAGGTATGCATTGTGATATACATATCATACTGTATGTGTGTGTGTATATACATATGTATGTGTGTATGCATGCATGCATGCATGTATGTATATATCTATACAATGATGTGTGTGTGTGTGTGCGTGTACATACAGACTATAACATGTGTACATATATATATATATTTATATTTATAAATGCACTCCGAGAAGTGGAAACACTTGGTGGACAACGCTAGCCTGTATCACACCACAGGAACGTTCTCAAAGGGGGAAACCTGCTCACGCGACTCGGGGCTTAGGGTATAGGGCAAGTACCCACAAAGATGACGAGACATGAATCCTTCCACACCCTAAACCAGAAACCTTCAACCCCAAACCCTAAACCCCTGAGGACCGGGCGGAAAAGCCAAAGTCAATGAGCTTTAGGATGTTACGCTCAGCCTCGTAGACCCAGTTCCGCGGCTTGATGTCTCGATGCACGATGCCAGCCTGGGCTCTTGTTTAGGGTCGTTCTAAGGGTTCCTGAACGGATTCTCCAAGGGCTACTGGGTTAGTAGTCCTATTCCTGGGTTCTTGTGACGGAATTACTTTCAAGTTTACTATAGATCCTGTTATGGTGTCTCAAATTAGGATCCTTAGAAAGAACCCAGCAGCTCGGTGCACGTAGTTCAGAACCCGTAGCATCTGGACAGCAGCTTGCTTGAAGTCTGGCTCAGGAAATGGCCCCTTGCTCCTTAGGACGTCTTGAAGCGTACCACCTCCACAGTATTGCATGACCAAGCTTAGCTCCTCATCATCTTCGTAGACATCAAAGAGCCGTGCGATGTGGGGATGTTCCAGCGAAAGGTAGATGACTGCCTCGTTCTTCAGCTTCTCTAAATGATCCGGCTTCATGGATGTCAAGTTGAAGCGCTTCACACAGCGCAGGCTGTTTTGTGGTCGACCTCCAAAATCTCGTGCATTGCGCCTTTGACACAGCACCACATCTCCACTAAAGCCACGGCCAACTACCACCGGCGGATCTGCTGTGTACTCGTAGTGGTCGAGAAAGTTCTTGTTCCAGTGCGTCAGGCAGGCAACGAGTTCAAGGGACAGTTTGCGCTGGCTGACGAGACCACTCACTTCATCGGAGATCACTGACTTCGAATTCCGCTCAATCAGTGAGGCTTCTTTCAGGGCCTTCTTGATAGGCTGTCTTTCGAAGTCTTTGGAGTTGTGACCGTACTTGACCTAGGTTCTTGTTAAGGAACTTAGCTTAAGCTATCATACAGTTGCCATAATACGGAAACCATATTAATCAATTTGCTATAGGTTCCGATTATGCTAACTTAAACGAAACTCCGTAGAGTCCTTCCAGGAACCCTTGAAAGGACCTCAACAAGAACCCAATATCCCACCACCGCCCATGAAGTACCCACAAAGCACCCTGAACCCCTGAACCCCTAAACCCTAAACCCTTAAGCGGGACCCTGAAGAAGAGCCCTAAACCCCCTAAACCCCTGAACCCCTACGCCCTAAACCCGGCCAGCTAAGCAAGAGCCATGACCTGCATCGCTGTTGGATCTATATGAAAAAAGTTCATTTTTAATCCTTATTGGGTTTTAGTATACCAAAAATGTAAACTGTAAACTTGTACCCAACAAGGACCCAATGACACTGAGATCCTAAACCCTGAACCCCTAAACCCGTAAACCCCTAGGCCCCTAAAACCCCCAAAACCCGCAAAAAGGGACCCTAAAGAAGAGCCCTAAACCCTCAACCCTGAACCCCTGAACCCCTAAACCCTAAACCCCCTTCAAAGGGACCCTGAAGAAGCGCCCCAAACCCCCAAAACCTAAACCCTAAACCCTAAACCCTAAACCCTAAACCCTAAACCCTAAACCCTAAACCCTAAACCCTAAACCCTAAACCCTAAACCCCAGGCCCAGGGGACGCTGAGACGTTTGGTGTTGATGATCTTCTGGAGGCCCCCAGAGCCGGCTAAGGGCTCGGAGGCCTTCTCGTCTCGGGCTTTCTGAAAGTCGGCTCCTCTTCAGGTTTAGGGTTTAGGGCTTAGGGTTTAGGGTTTAGGGCTTAGGGTTTAGGGTTTAGGATTTAGGGTTTAGGGTTTAGGGTTTAGGGTTTAGGGTTTATGGGGTAAGGGTTTAGGGTTTAGGATTTAGGGTTTAGGGTTTAGGGCTTAGGGTTTAGGGTGAAAGTCGGCTCCTCTTCAGGTTTAGGGTTTAGAGGGTTTAGGGTTTAGGGTTATAAGGGCTATAAGGGTTATAAGGGTTATAAGGGTTGATTAGGGTTTATAGGATTTAGAGTTTAAGTTTAGGGTTTATAGGTTTAGGGTTTATAGGGTTGAGTATTTAGATGTAGGGTTTATAGGTTTTTGGCATTTAGAATTAGGGTTTCGGGCTTACAGGGTTTAGGGTTTAGGGTGTATAGGGTTTAGGTTATAAGGGTTATAAGGGTTATAGGGGCTATAAGGGTGATTAGGATGATTGGGGCTTAGGGCTTATAGGGTTTAGGGTTTAGGCTTTACGCTTTAGGCTGTTGGGTTATAAGGATTACAAGGGTGATTAGGGCTGTCAGGGTTTAGCGTTTGGAGCTTGGGTCTAGGACATTTTCAGGTGGGTAGTTACCGTTATGAGAGCATTATGGAAGGTCTACATACCTTATGCAAGCCTTATAGAAGCCCTGTATACCCTAAACTCCCCACCTAACCCTAAACCCTAAACCCTAAACCCTAAACCCTAAACCCTAAACTCCCCACCTGTAGTTTCCTTTAATTGGGATTTCGAGTTTGGGAGCTTGGGGCTTAGAGTTCAGGGCTCAGGGCTTGGATTCCAAAGCTTAGGATCTACGGCTTCAACCCTAAACCCTAAACCCTAAACCCTAAGCCCTAAACCCTAAACCCTAAACCCTCAACCCTCAACCCTAAACCCTAAACCCTAAACCCTGAACCCTAAACCCAAGCCCTACAGGGCCATTGGGGCCATTAGGGCTAAAGGGTTCCCTTTTGGGGCGTCTTTGCAAGTAACTTCCTCCAAGCTTCCCCACCCTCAGCCTAAACCACCTAGATCCCTTATAGAAGCCTCATAGATCCCTTTAAAGGAAACCTAAACCCTGTTAGATCCCTTTAAAGGAACCCTATACCCTAAACCCTCATAGATCCCTTTAAAGGAACCCTATACCCTAAACCAGATCCCTTTAAAGGAACCCCTAACACCCCCCCGGAGAGCCCTAAACCCCTAAACCCCTAAACCCTAAACCCTAAACCTCATAGATCCCTTTAAAGGAACCCCCTTAGATCCCTTTCAAGGAACCCCAACACCTCCCGGAGAGTCGCTCCTCCCCTAAACCCTAAACCCTAAACCTCATAGATCCCTTTAAAGGAACCCTCTTAGATCCCTTTACAGGAACCCTCTTAGATCCCTTTAAAGGAACCCCGGAGAGTCGCTCCTCCCAGCTTCCCCAGCTGCAGGGCCAAGCGCACCAGCTGCAGGCGGAAGCCGTGGTTGGAGAGCACCGTCCCCCGGAGCCGCTGCCTGGGCTTTGAGTTTTTAGGGTTTAGGGCTTACTTAGGGACTTTGAGTTTTAGGGCTTACTTAGGGATTTAGGGTTTAGGGTTTAGGGATTTAGGGTCTAGGGTTTAGGGCTTACTTAGGGATTTAGGGTTTAGGGATTTAGGGTCTAGGGTTTAGAGCTTACTTAGGGATTTAGGGTTTAGGGATTTAGGGTTTAGGGTTTAGGGCTTAGGGCTTAGGGATTTAGGGTTTAGGGCTTAGGGTTTAGGGTTTAGGGTTTAGGGTTTAGGGTTTAGGGCTTAGGGATTTAGGGCTTAGGCTCATTTTAAGGGCTCCTTAGCGGGTTCTGTATAGGCCCTAGGCTGCTATTAGGCTCTAGGGTCTAGGATTAGTGGTACTATTCGTAGGTTCTGTCAAGGAACTTAGCTTAAGCTACCAGAATAAGGAACCCCTGCTCTTTTGCATAGATCCCCGATTATGCTGACTTTTATAAAGTTCCTTAACAAGAACCCAGCAATAGCACTACTGGCCCTGATCCCTTAAGCCTTATCCCTTTAGCCCTTCTAGAACCCCTTTCGGAACCCTCAAAAGGACCCTAAAACTTAAATCCCCTGTAGATCCCTCCCCTTTAAAGGGTACTATGCGGGGTTCTAGGAACCCTTGAAGCCTAAACCCTAAACCCTAAACCCTAAACCCTAAACCCCTTAACAAGAGCCCAGCTGCACATGCTCCAGGGCTCCCAACAAGGAAAAGTTTTCCCGGGCCATGAGCCAACCTGGTTTGGCGTTTAGGGTTTAGGGTTTAGGGTTTAAGGTTTAGGGTTTAGGGTTTAGGGTTTAGGGTTTAGGGTTTAGGGTTTAGGGTTTAGGGTTTCGGGTTTCAGGTCTTAGGTTTCGGATTTTGGGTTGAGGGCTTAGGGTTTCGGGTTGGTATAGTATGAAGAAATTTACGTGCTATTCCGTATTGAGGTTAGGTACTCCTAAAAATTTAAAATGCTGCCCAACTTTGCCAAAGGAGCAGATCATGATACAAGCTGACCTATTGTGGCCAGCTTGGCAATTCACCAAGACCTTGCGACCTTCATCACGACACCTCTGCAAGAAGCGTTCGGCAGAAGGCCATGAAGTTGCAATGATGTCGAAGAAGAGCCTGTCCTCAAAATCTGACACCCTAAACCCCAATACTAAACCCTAAACCCTAAACCCTAAACCCTAAGGCCCAAACCGTCCTCAGAATCTGCCTCTTTGTATTCGATATCGTAGTGGCTGAAGAGAATCTCAAGGTCTGTACCCTCCGGTAGAAGCGCTTCGAGCTCCCACCAACCTTGGGCTCAGAAGGCGGATAGGTTTACAGTTTAGGGTTTAGGGTATTAGGGGTTTAGAGTTTAGGGTATTGGGGTTTAGGGTTTAGGGTTTAGGGTATTAGGGTTTAGGGTTTAGGGTTTCGGGTTTAGGGGTTTAGGGTTTGGGGTTCAGAAGCTGCCTGAACTCCTACACCCCAAACCCCTGAACCGTGCTGAGGCACAGGGACCATCCGTTTCGGGTCTTAAGATTTGAAGCCTTGGGGCCCCTGGAACTAAGGCTTCGAGGGTCTTTGGGTTTAGGGTTTGGGGTTTAGGGTATTAGGGCTTAGGGTCCGGGGTATTACGGTATTAGGGTATCAGGGTATTAGGGTTTAGGGTTTGGGGTTTATAAAGGGCACCACGACTTCCAAGGGTTTCCTTTGCTTGGCTCTTGTTCCGGGACTCAACCAACTTAATCCTTAACAGTTAGAACAGGGTTGTGGGGGTAATTATACTGTAATTATAATAAGGAACCCCCAAAATAGCATTGGTAAATATTTAAGCGCCTATATTACCCTGATAGGGATCTATAGTAAGTAATCTTGTGTGATTCTCATGATACAGCTGATGATACATAATTCTCGTAGTGTAGGGTCCTTAAAAAAATGCAGGATTTATATCACCAACAGTAATTCGAATTACTTTCCTGAACCAGAGCCCCGGAATGGTACGACTAACCCTGAACCGTAAACCCCTATAGCAGCCCGTATAGAGGGTTTAGGGTTTAGGGCTTAGGGTTGAGGGTTTAGGGTACCCTTAACACGACCCGAAACAAGAACCCGGCTGACGCAGAAGCCGGGAGGCCAATGAGGTTCAGGACGCCTTGGATCTGCCGTTGCTCCAGCCTGGGTTCTTGTCTAAGAAGTTAGTTTAAGGGTTTAGGGTTTGGGGTTTAGGGCTTAGGGTAAGTTGCCATGATAAGGATCTGTAGTAAATGATAGGGTTTCCTTCTTTATTCTGGTAACTTAAGCCCTAAAGCCCAAACCCTAAAACAGTGAACCCTAAACCCCATTATGACAACTCAAAGTTAGTTCCTTAACAAAGGTGACGGAGTAGCACTACTACCCCCTGATTCCTAAACCCTTTTAGTAACCCAGAAAAATTCGTTTAGGAACCCTCAACCTCTAGCAAAAATTAAAATTTTAGCTGCCTCCTAGAGATTAGAATAACCAAAGACTAAGAATTGTTCAAAACACCCTTAAGTAACAGGACACTAAACCCTAAACACCTAAAACCGATAAACCCTCAACCCTAAACCCTAAACCCTAAACCTTAAACCCTAAACCCTAAACACCTAAAACCTAAACCCTAAACCGTGGCTAAACCCTCAATGGCAGCCCCAGAGGCAGCCCCAGGTCCGTCGCGTCCGCGAGATCTCCGAGGAAGAGCCAATCCAGAATCCTCTTCGGATCTAAGGTTTCTAGGGAGTTTAGGGTTTAGGGTT